GTCAAGGGAGCCCTGTGTGCTAAGTTTGGCCCAATTCCATCATTGGTGGAGTTCAGAATGCTCTTTGATTGTTGGTGAACTATAAATCCCAGCAGCGACAATTCCCAAATGACAAAATCTTTTTTTTTTTAGTGGAGGACATACATTGGATTGTTAGGTGTCTTGTGTCCAAATTTGGTGTCAATTCCCCCAGTGGTTTTTGAGTTCTGATGGTATCACAAACGAACATTACATTTTTATTTATATATAGATAAATACCTATCTGACCGCATCTCGGCCTATGAGCCCACAAGAACTTTGAGATCGTCCGGGGAGGCCCTGCTCTCGATCCCGCCTGCCTCACAGGCACGCCTGACGGGGACGAGAGACAGGGCCTTCTCGGTGGTGGCTCCTCGGCTGTGGAACACCCTTCCCGTGGACATCAGACTGGCTCCTTCCCTGATGATATTCCGCAGGAAATTAAAGACTTGGCTGTTCAGGAGGGCATTCGAACAAGAAGTGCAATAATTGGTAATGATGACAGGAATGGAACAACGGAAAATGAGACTGGATTGTGGTTAAACGATGAGACGACGTGAATGGCCTTTTGTATTATTGATATTGTTGATGTTCTTGATGAGGATGTTTTTGATTATTGCTAGATGATATTTTAGTTTGTGTCTTGAATTTTGGATCTGTTTTTTCTATGTTGTACACCGCTGTGAGTCACCCCTGGGCTGAGAACAAAGTAAGCAAAGTAAATAAAAATAAATAAATAAATAATGCAATATAATACCCATAATAATAATAATATGATATTATAATTATATGTTTTATATTACATGCAATATTACTAATAATAATCTATATAAATAAAAATGTAATAGTTCACCTACAATCAAAGAGCATTCTGAACTCCACCAATGATGGAATTGAATCAAACATGGCATACAGGACTTCCATAACCAACAGAACACACTGGAATGGTTTGGTGGGCAATGACCTTGAGTTTGGGAGTTGTAGTTCACCTACATCCAGAGAGCACCGTGGACTCAAACAATGATGGATCTG